TTTCCAGTTGAGTAAGCATTGAGAAAGTTGTGCTCTTGAATAATTTTGCATTTTTACATTAAAATTATTGGTCATTCTAAAATTTAGTTAGCATGTTCATAATGTACAGCGCAGTGTTGGTTTAAATAAAAATACAGGTCTAAAAAAATCTGAAATTAGTTAAATAAATTGTTGTGAACTTAAAATTTTATTGGTGAAATTATCAAGCATGGGTCCAAAGAAATCTCGGAGAGCGATTTAAATTCAAGTGAAATAAGAAATTATTAAGAAATACGAAGAAAGCATTCGAACCAATGCACTCTGTAAAGAATATGGCATGTCATCATCGACTGTGTCTACAATCAGCTGTTTGCGCTGCCGCAATGTAAACAAAGCCGCCGGAAATTCTACATACCTCAAATTAAGAGTTAAACATTTTTTTTATCTATTATTGTGCAGTATACTGTACAGCACTGTATTTTGCTTGTATTTAATGTTTTGTTAATTCTATTACCGGTATACAGTACAGTAATTTGCATGTACTTTTAATTCATTTTCAGGGAATTTTTTAAGTTGTAACCAATTACCCAATATTCCATTGAAATGATAGTCAGAGTGATTCTGTGGAACCAATTGGGCTCGTTAATGGAGGGACCACTGTATTTGGGTAATAAAAATTTTATCAAGATACCAGCCTGATAAAGATTGCTAATATGTCTTACAAACAAATACTGTATTTTAATTTTCCTTCATGAAATGTATTGCCTTATTTCATTTTTAAGTAAAGGTGTAGCTACTGGTATTGTAGCTATTTCTAATCCCAAATTCTTAAGAAAAACTACATGAGCTGGGTTGCATGATCATAGATGCTGTCCTAACATTTTTTACACCATGAGATAAATCAAGCTAAACCTAAGCAATCAAAAACTATCCTAACCAACAATATATATATACAGTACCTAGTAACCCAAAATCATTAGCTTGTGCTGGTTTTGTAAATGAACCTTCTTAATGAGATAATTTTCTGTCAAATCTACTAAGTGGTGCTGCTAATTATAACAATGAACATTTTTTCCACCTTCCAAAAAGATTAAAAATTGCATTCAACTATTACTGTACATTTCTTCCATCTCTCCAATAACAAGATAAAATACTGTACAATATCAACCAAAAATAAAATGCTAATTCACGTCACGTACACACTTTTCATACCATTGGTTCTCATACCCGGAAATTGGAAAAATTCACCAAATGGTTTATGAGACATCAGCCTCCTCTTTAAAACAATGATCCCTATAGTTCTCTCCAAATTAATAAGCGAGATCTCTCATTCTAAGACAAAGTTTGACTGTCTCTGCAAGCCAGGTTTCCTCTAATGGCCTTCCTCCTATTCTCATCTACTGCACCATCAATGCAGCTGCACACAAGTCTCACACACTCTTTTACAGTACAGAATACAGAAACGTATTTTTTGGTGTGACCCAAGATTCTTTCCTTTCACAAACCAGATCTTCACCTGTACAGTACCAGATTACCAATAACCTTTTTGTCTCAACCTTGATATTACATGCATATCAGTCTTCTGTCAACACCAGTTTTCATATACAAATTATATTTTCCTACAAAAACCACTTTTTACATACAGTACCAATAATTTATTTATACCAAAAGCTGTTTTTATATACAAACAAGTTGGTACTGTCAAAACCACTTCTTGGACAAACAAATAACCGTTTCCTGGTCAAATATATATATTTTTCATATACCATCACCCTTTCCCAATGTGTAACAACTACCGTGCTTAAATCTTCAGATGACTGTAATCTCTACCATCACTATGTTCATGCCTATTCCAACTCCCTTGAAGGATCTATATCACTTCCAGATGTTAATACACTACCAATTTTGTATCCATCAGTACTGTATTGATAATAATACTACAGTAATAATGAAAATAAATAATTATAACAAGCACTTAAACAAATATGTTCTTATCCTTCTTCAGTCATATATATAGTACTGTACTGTATTTGGACGCTGTACTTTACCCATAATACCTGCGTATTTCACCAACATTTATCACGAGCCACAGCAACAATTTCCATTTATAAACTTTGGGAACTAACACACTTACAATCCAATAATATTGTTGACATCTGAGGAATTCTTAGTTGCTTAATCGTTAACTGAGATTTTGGGAACTGAATATTCCTTTTTAATTCAAAAAAATTCATTCATAAAAATGATTTTAATGCACAGCAGCATTTTAGTCAATCTAATACTGTATAGGTACAATATGCTGTACAGTACTATGATGAATAAAAATAAAAGTAAACACACTACTATGTTTGAATTATATTAGACGGGACCATCTTTGGTTAGGAATATCTTCATTTCATTGGGAAGTTGTGTTTTATATAATAAGTGTTGTACAGGAACACATGTACCATACAAAGACAAGCAGGATATGCCTGTAGTTTAGAACACCACAACTTTTCCATGAAAAATAATGAATGGCAACAAAATAAGAGAACAAATCATCTAGCTAAGAGCCTCTGAAAACATTGTTCTAAAACACAATACAGTACATCTGTACCACTTCAAAAAGCACTCAGTGCCATTCTTTACATTACTGTACAGCGCATTATCAGGGAAAATAAAATCATTAAAGAAAAAAATAATCTTTGGAGTCTAAAATTTAGTTTCAGAGTACCCGTACAGTACAGTACTAGATATATTTCTTTGCTGGTCATTTAATCCCCCTTCTCCCTGCATCCTTCCGAGGGATCACACTTGGTTGATGCTAGATGTCATTATACTATGATCACCAAACACCACAATATCATTATACATTTTCATATTTTATTCACATTTTATTGAAGTTTTTCTCTACAGGGAAGGAACTAAACATCATTCAGGTCACAAAAGCCTTCATTTGGATAATTTCTAAAATAGCCTCCTACAGCTCAATAAACTGTTTATTATTCAATATACCATACCCAGTACAGCACTGCAATTTTAAGTAACTAATAATTGTATCCTTTTACAAGAAAGATTATTTAGCATACTAACCAAAAATAACTATGGGAGTGAATACTGTTTTGTGTTTTAAGGGAATTTTAGAGTAAAGTTTGAGACTCTGGAACCTAAATAGCCCCATTTGTATCATAAGCTCATTCCAATTCAAAACTTTTAGAGCATAATCCAGTTTGCTGAGTGGGGCATACTATCTGGAAGGTTTACAAGGAGGTCAAGGCAACTTTCAATTTCTATGGTTTCAACAAATTTATGAAGTCTCTCTTCTCACGATCCTAACTACATATGTCATTTCTTACAACCTCCCCCATGGAGTGTAAAGCAAAATCCTTTGTGCAAAGTGGAGTTGCCTTTCAACTTTGTTAACTTGCACAATATTTTTTGAGTCATGAAAAGCTTTAACCCCCCCCCCCCACCAAAGTGATTTCTGTCCATTAACCTCTGATATGGGAAAGACCTTCACAAGCTTAACTTCGCATCTGGTCTGGTGGGCTAAAATCAACTACAAGTACTAATGTTGTTATCTATACAGTACATAAATTCAAGTCATCCAGTAACTACAAACCCCACCCTCAGCCTGCTCATATTAATGAATGACACTAATAGCAATCTTAAACACCATTAAAATATTAGTGCAGTGTAATGAAGAAAATAGAGTTCTAAGTCATATTTTTACCAAGTGACTGGTCACATTTTCATTTAAGTGAGAAACGTGCAGCACATAAAGGCACGTCACACTAGCACTTTTTGCGTCAACTCTCCGATTTCATGTTGTCTATCATAGAGTATATTGCTCAAAGATGAAAAATATCGTTTCTGCTCAACTGGCTTGCATCAATTTCCAGGGTCAAGTCAAGATCCATACTCTATAATGAGGACAGATATACAAAATAAAATATCGAGCCTCATAAAATAATTTAATTTTTAAAGTACTATGCATCACATTTTTATCAAATTGCTAACATTTGCATAGTTTTATTGATGTAATAATATTCCTAAATACATTTTATATACAAGGTATCTGTTTACATTAGGACCACCTGGGTTTAGGGGTGACTAATGCAGAATGACATGCTTCGGTACTACAGCATATGCAAGTGTGACAGCGCCCTCCCCCAAAAATTTACAAGCCCGAGGAAAAATTATGCAGGAAAATTACAAAAATACTGTACTAGTGTGATGCTGCATTACCTGACAACAGCTTACAACTCACAGATTATGAACACAAGAGGAAGGAGAGGGATTGACACCTGTAGTTAGTGTTGGAACTTTTAAGACCATGCAGCTCAGGTTCAGACAGTCAGTTACCTTTAGTAATGGAAAGTCCCAGTTTACTTTATGTACAGGAAAACTGAGCACTAACAGGTGGCAAACAGTGGATTACCTTCCACCAAGAGGATAAAAGTCATATGGTAGTGTTGTAGCTGTATGGTTAAGGGAAAGTGGTGCACATTTGTGGCAATTGAAATACTCAAAAGTCTAGCTACTCATAAATACTTCACAAATTCACATAAAAATACACCTAACTCGAAGATACAATTGACCCAATTCCTATGAACGTCTTAATTACCAAGGTCAGTGCATCCAGATTACCCAGGCTGATAAGTGGCCGATTACCAAGGACTCTCTTCAAGGTATGAGTATTAATATATACAGTACTGCATATATAAACTGGCAGTGGTACATATACAGTAAATCTATATACTATACTGTACTGTACAGTACTGTACCTACATATATCTACATCAAATTATGTGAAGCATTATCTGCTTGAAAACATGATGATTATTGAATTTTATTATAAATTTCAATGCATATAATTTTTCTTAAGTCCATTTACTGACTCTTCTTCTATAAGAGCTGAAAGTGTCTCCATTTATATTAAAAGTTTTCATTTGTTATTTGTCTCAGAACATAGTTTCTTTCAAGCAGAATACTGTTTTATGGAAAAAGGTAAAAAAAAAAGCTCAAATCTGGGTACTTACCCCTGGCTGAATGGAGGGACCAGGAAAGGAACCACTTCCGTAGTTATCGGGGTCGTGCTCAGACTTTGACAGCTCCGTGCCAAAATCCCCACCATCCCCTTCATTTAATGAACCACCTTCATAACTGTTGTCTCTTCTGTATACATCATCTGGGTCTTGAGTGTCCTCCATTTCAACTTTAACCATAGGAGGGGGGTCTAAGACTGAATCTTGTACATTGTCTTGGTGATGAGAAACTGATAAAGAGGAAGATTGGTGTTGTAGTGGAGACGTTTGAGTTGAAGGTGTAGTTTTTGAAGATGCTGAAATGTTTGGGGAAACTGGCCTTGGAGGTGGGGCTGGTGCAGGGGGGTCTTCCTGCCGTCTTCTCTTTGGTGGTGGACTTTCTCTCCTGTCATCAGACGGCGCTTTCCTAGACTTTGTGGGGTCTTCATCAGGTACCGCGAGGCCCTTAATTCTTAGGCACTCGGCTGTCTTCAATAAGGAAGCTAAGTCATTTTGGTTCACATTCACTTCACCTAAGTACATGTAATCCAATAACGCATCCATGTCTTGACTTCGCACATCTTTCAGCACTATGACTGGAGATTTGCACGGTGTTCTTTCAAAAATTTCACTAAAATATTCACTGCATGTGCTCATAACCAGTTTATGAACTGGATAGAACTTTCCTTCCACCGCAATCGTAGCATCTGTAAAGTTGGCCTGAAAGAGAGAAATACCAAAATTCAACTTATGTAATAACTTTTAAAAGGTTATATATACAGGGGGTCCCCGACATATGAACGCTCACCAATACAAACGGGGTTAAACTTGAAATGTACAGTATTTTATTTACCTGATGACTTTTTTTTTTACTTTCACTTACTGCATTTTGTCATTCTATTTCTTTTGTCTTAAATTAAGTGATTTTAGAAGTACATAAGGACTTAGGTTATGATATACAGTAGTGAGATTTTAAACTTTGTTCTGCAAGTACAGTATGCACATAGCATGCATTTCAACTAAAGAATGTCCTCTGGAACAGAGCCCATTCATAACCCAGGGACCCCCTGTGTGTATGTGTATGTGTATATATATATATATATATATATATATATATATATATATTATATATATATATATATATATATATATATATATATATATATATATATATATATATATATATATATATATATATATATATATATATATATATATATATATATATATTATAGAACACATGTGACAGTAGTAAGAATGTATGAGTGGCAGTGAATGAAGAACAAAGAGACCCGTGCATTTTCTTAAATACCCTATTTCTCGACTACTAACTCATTAAGGAATGCACCTCAAGCCTCTTCCTCTACCTTCATGCTAAAGCTATACACTTCAACTAAAGATATTCTCTTAACCAAAAGTTGACTAACATCCATAACAATTATCAGTATTTTCCCTTCCCTTATTGAACTACAGCTTTGTGGATGAATCTCTTTATGAAATAAGTCATCACACCATCTCTCTTTAAAAAAGAATCATTTGCTAATTCTCTTTATCAATACTGTACATTGTTGAAATGTTGCTTGTGCAAAGACCATCCCCAGCACCATTTACTTCCACACCTAATGACAGTAGTCTTATATCTTTCTCACCTCACATATTTTACCTTGATCTTTGATCATCTTGAAATGTATTATGCATGAGGGATGCCTCAGCAAATTAACCTGACACAGATCTGTACCGCTGCTTTTTTTATGAATCTATCTAATGTTGATGCACAATCAAGTGCAGTTTCATCAAAATATTTAAATCCCCAAAATAATTGTTTTGGACAAAAAACTTAAACATGGATGTGATACATACTGTAATACATCTGTTTTTCAGTGAGCAGAAGTTTTAAACTAACACTTCCATTACCCTTGTGTTGCTATTCCCATTTTAGCCAAACTCTTCTTGAATTACAGGATCATAATCTGGTTCAACCTATCATTTGCTCTTAATTTACATTTCTTAGCTACGAGTATCTTATATATTCTCCTAGGTATGCCAAGTCTTATATCTTACCATCAACAAGGGAACTGGTTGGAAGTGGAAGTGGATAATACCTATAAACTCATACTTTCATCTCATCCATCACAAAGAGAAACAACTTCCCTACCACCAACAACCTTGTCAGTGTGCCTATCTGCTCTAACCATATTCATCCCCACGTGGCAAACTTTTGAGATTACAAATCTCTCACTCTGCAGTCTTTGGGTTAAATCCTATACTAACTTTGTCACCAATCTAGTCACAACATTTATGGCCAAATCTAATGTAGAAACCAGAAAAGTTTTCAAACCACCAAGAGTCTTCCTCCAATGAAAGGGGGAACTGAATAAACTTAAAAGCAGGAGGGGTTATTTTTTGTAACTACCCTGTGTACAAATCTATTAACATATAAATAAATAAATATGATTCCAAAATTTCAGTTATTTGTTCATAAATAAACTAAGGTCAACCATATTAATTCTTCATCCATGAACTTTTAACAAGTAGATACTGTACTGTAATATAGCTAGCATGGACAAAACTGTAAAATGACAATAAGTATCATGCTCGTTCCACATCTTTCTTCAACATAGCCACACTAAGTACACGTTGAAACATTTATGTTGTACAGTACAGTTTAGCCAATATGAACCAAAACTGAAATATAGGTATACAGTACAGTATACAGTACTGTGTGAAGTACTTCTGTCTCCAGGAAATTCTTTTGTCTATCATGTCTTTATGAGGAAAACAACTAAGGTTAAGAGAACATATTCCAGGTGTTCCACTGAAGTGTTATTTCTTTTTTACAATACATGTAAGTGTATGAGTAGTGAAAGGCCTTAACCAAATATTCTTCCCCACAAAAGGTCTGAGTATTCAAATAAGGGAAACTCCAGAAATGAGGGAAGGGTCCACCATCTGGGGATGATTCTGTCAGTGCCATATTCTTGACAATTTAAGTACAATACTGTACATAATTATAAAGTACCAGGTATTCTGAACACTGCAACTGCTTTCTACTTCAAGCAAATAATCTAATTTGTAATGAAGCTGGTGGAATCAATTACAAGAGAAAAAAAATTCTTGAGCTAATTTCAATTCACAATAACACACTGAATGGCTACTAGTTGCTCCCCATTTATAAAAACAAAAAACATCCTACACTGTCAACTGGGGGGGGCTGTAAATCGGTGCAGGTCAAAACAGAAAAGAAGGAAAAGCGAAGACCCCGGAGTACTATAGCTAGTTGAAATATATTTTCTAAGTTACGACTTCTTTTGACAATTCAGGAATGATACACCATCAATATAGTGAAGAGCTTATCTTATCAATACAGTTTCTCACTAGCCAGTAGGATGGTAATTTCTGTTCTAGAACGACTTCACTTCAGCCTCTATAGTATTACTGTACAACTGTCTTCCACATACTCCCTCAGCCTGTTTCCACTCCACTCTTATTCTTACTCATGTCTCCTCCCTGTCATCCCGTACATATGTAATCTATCATCCATTTTCTGGCTTGTGTTATCTATTCACTACACAACTTTCCTTATCCCACATAAATGGTCTAACATCCAGATTCCCACCACTGTCCATTCCATTTTTTTTTATTTCCCTAAACCTGACTGATCTCTTAAAATTAAGGTTAAGTGACTACCCTGGATATGTATTTCACTGTCATATCACATACAGTACAGTAAATCTGTACTAAATACTGTATACCTAAAATATTGTGATTAAACCAATTTTTGAAGGAAGAGAGAACCAAAGTCATGTTCTTGCTTCCTACAACTATCAACAACCACTAGTCCCACATCTACTATAAATTGTCAAGACCTTCCTCACGACATCAATAAAAGACACATGTTTATAAGTCCCAACCTACCTTTTCTCTAAGTACCCTGAGGATTTCAAAGAATGTAATTTTGTGGTTGTTCCACTTGAGGCTTAGAAGTCCATCCTCCATTTTGGCATCTGAAATAAATTGAGAAAAGTGTCAAAATTCATCTGGCTGAAATAAAACACAGATTCATACAATCGACTTTATCATTAATACATCTTCAAACATCGCAGATCCTTAAGGAGGGGCGAGGAATGAATAGCCATTAAAATTGGGAGACTTAATCCTGGTGTAACAATAGCTTTATTTTAACTTTCTTCATTTCGTTATTTATTTCTTCTTAGTTCCTAACTCTTTATTTTCTCTTTATTCCATTATCTGTATACTGTACTCATGAGATGCAGGAGGTTAGGGGTGGAGGGAGAGAATAGAGAGGGAGGGAGATGACTTGTTTGTGGTTGAGGGAGGTAGGGGTTTGCCTGTGGTCTCTCCCCCACCAGAGGGTTACTGATATGAGTGGAGACTGAGGAGGAGGGAATAACTGGAAGACCGAAGAGGCTGATAACTAAAGAATAGTGGTAACCTAGAGAGACACTAGAGGAAACAGGTGATGCATTTTTTCAGTACTGTATTGTTATATTTAAATTTATATTGATGTTTTTCAAGTATTGCCCCTTTGCCTTCAACTACAGTAAAGTATGTTTATTAGTACAGTGAGCTTAAAATGATATTCAGCTTAGTTTAATTCCATGTACCTATTGTAAAATAGAATATTTTTATTTTACATGTTAGTTAGGAGAGTAGGGGCTGGATACATGAGTGCAGCAGCCTTATGTTTGACACCTCTGTGCTACACAAATACAGTACAGTATCTACACTGACAGTGCCCTATATCTTGGACATACCACTCATCACAGTAACCTGATATTGTACCGTTTAAATGCTTGATTACCCAAGACTGTCCATTATGGACATTTGTTAGTATTTTTTTAACTAAGAAACAGTAGTGTTTTCAGTCACTAATATGAATCACAAATGGCCATAGTGCTAAGCATCATGTCCATAATACATGACCTCCACTAGGTCAGTAAAAAGGTGAGGTCTTCACCTTCATGGGAGGAATCAAAGGACAGTTTGCAACATCGTCTTGTTGATACATCACCCACAGAACAATTCTCAGAAAACTTTCAGTGTCGAAACAGCAATCAATTGTGACAGCCAACCAGCTGTCAAAATTTTGTCAAGATTAAAAATGTGGCCACTTGAGTAAGAAAGATTATAAGCTTCCTATTGCCACAAAATGCTGACTTAACAGGTAACCACAGCAGCTGCTACCTAGGTCCTCTCTGCCAATAGTAAACCCAAGATCGTGTATTAAAATAAATATATTGGTAAGGTACACCCCCCCAGAGGCTGCATATCTAGGGCACACACTGGGAGCCCATAGGTCAATGTGGCTTTAGATGACCTGTGGTACATTCTCTATCGTCGATAAAAACAACTGTAGGCCATTTTCCCAGGTGACCCGGCTCAATAGCCCTTGAGCTATTTTACCATCCGCTAAACAGCCTCCCCCTTTAACATTATTCATATATATTCCTCTATTCTTTTTTCCACATATTTACACAATTCACAGAAATTATCATTTTTAATGTCAAAACATTTGACAATTCATAAATGCAATGAAAAATCTCAGGTCTGCATTGAACATCCCTGAACCTGGACAGGAGAGCTCTGATAAATTTCCCATATAGGAAGGAATTAGATGTACCCTGATCTATTGTGCAGCACAAACAAGCACATACCACATCAGTCGGTTCTTTAATGTTGATTTGCAAGCTTCTACATAAAGGAGTGCAGTCCCTTATACAGTCCTTAAGTTATTAAAGATGGAAAAGTCATCTTGTAATAGAAACATTGGTCCAAACCCTCTAGTCAGCCCAAAGGCTTCCTGGGTAAGTTCATCCCATAAGTGAATCTGGCATTAAAAGCCAATTCACCAGGAAAATTTTAATTAAATTCTGATACAACTGTATTATAATTCATCCAAAGAGTAAACTCATAACAGCAAAGACCACTGCACTAAAATAAAGGCAGCATGTGGGTTCATATTTCTAGGGCCTCTTGGCACTTTTATACAATGCTGACTGTTGCCTAGCGCACACACAGTTGCTGGGTGTAAAGTGATGCCTTAGTTGCAAGTGGTTTTTAAACCCTTTGCTACCAACTGGTTCATACATGTTCACTAAGTTTTGTCCCTTTGCTGCAGGAAATTAATACCGTACTGAAATATTGCACAATTTTTCAAGCTTTCAAAATTGGCACATGAAGCATGGACCATAAATAGTACAGTATATTAGTGGTTCTATTATTCACTAACATCACACTCCCAACATGTATATGCTGCAAACAGCTTGTCAGAGGTAACTCATCCTTTATAATGCTTGCACACCTACTGTAAATGACCAATTTTCAACAAATATTGTACAAAAGATAAGTTATTCCTTACCAAAAGAAAATCATTAATACTGACAAGGATTAGCATTTTCATATTTTTTTCTTATAATTTTTGTCCTGAACACTAATTGACATTCACCCACAACATTCTCCTGTAACCATTTCATCCACATGGACACTCCAAGAGACTACTACATCATCTGATTAATGACATAAGATGCACCAACATAATCCACTCTAAATAAAGTACTATATATACTACAGTACATCATTGTTAGGAAACATTGGGTTTATTTTGTATAAACCATATTGGGTAGCAGTCAGTGTATGCATTCATATGAAAGTCACTGGTAACAATCATTTGTAGACCATGAATCAAGAGCCAGAAATGGCACGATTCATAAAAAATAAATAAAAATATATCAATTTCTCAACATTACACTTCTTGCTATTTTTGATATAAGAAATAAATTGCATTCAGTATAAAACCAGCTGAAAATACAGTACCTGTATGATGTTTGGATGTATTAATGTAATATCACCAAGACAATTATTTCCACCTTCTATGCATCAGTTTTCCTCAAGTTGTCAAAGGAGCCTGTTTGAGAGCACTGTGCTTCCAGTGAAGCAAGAGAAAATCCAGATGACTGTACAGTATAGTACTAACACAAACACACACTAGTGTATTTGTGTAGATAACACATACTGTATGAAGAATATTTCAATATTGTATCATGCAATATGCAAGTAACAAAATCCAAAATTTCTCTTGCTGGGTGATGATCTTAAACAATGGAGAGGGGCAGGCGACGAATTTGAGGAAAAAAATGCCATTTGAGAAGAGGATGTGAAAAATCTTATTTACACATCAAGCAGAATGTTTTGAAGCTTTGTCTTAATTTCATTACTGTACTTTCAATGAAGTGTTGAGGGAGGGAGGGGGGGGGGCTGGGACTGGGGTACTAAGAGAAGAATTTAAATGTAAAACATGTATTTAAGGGGCGAAGAGTGGCGTCTGCCCAAACCAGACCCTCCCACCACTTAGGTGAACCATTGGGAGCTAAAACCCATAGTTAACTAACTGGGATTGATGTAGTAAAACAACTCTAACCCACCCATTTGCTGCCCAATTGTAACTGTTGGCAGCCTTCCATGTAATCACTGGCACATAAAGGGCACTGTCTAAGTCTATCACATTGTAGGGCCATAGTCTCGGATCACACACATCACCAACTCAGGGCTGTAACCTTTGTTTTATTAGGCAGGAAAGTTTATGGCAGTTTAGAATGGGCAGCTCAACTATCAAGTATATACTGTATTTAGTAATTTTACAAAACTTCATGACTAATCATGTGGACAAATCACCCCATATTGTCTCTCGCTCCATATTCAGTTAGGTTTCTCTGAAGTCGTTTAATTCTCAGCCGTCGCAAGACATCATGTGATATGTTCCTACGATTGACCTCAGCCTTTATAAAACATTCATGGGATCCTGTTACATCTACACAGGTATCTCTCGTTTAACGATGGGGTTGACTTCCTGAAAAACCCAATTTTAAGCGAAATTATCGCTAAATTACGGATAACAGAAGCCCGGAGGGTGAATAACTTTAATGTTTATCACTGCAATTTTTTTTTATTTTTGACATACACAATATGAAATTTGTTTGAATTAGGCCCACCTTGTGCTCACTAAATCATTTAACCCTAAACCACATCGTTTATATAGAAGTTTGATGTTAATAATCAATCCTTTAGCTTTGACACCATTTCTAACAAACCTGATAATTATTATTAATGAGTACAGTACAGTACTCTGTACTAAGTGTTTACCGCCCTGCCGTTTGAACTTGTTGATTGCCCTCTGCGCTTTGCTGTTATCCCTCGTTTAGCAATAATTTCACTTAACAGTAGGTTTTCAGGAATGCAACCCCATCGTTAAACAAGGAAAGCCTGTAATCTCTCCTTCAAATGAATTCACTATAAACAGTTTTAAAGTTAAACGATTGATCAACCTCAAATATTCTATATAAACGATGTGGTTCAGAACCCAATTCAAATGTCATAGAAGAAAAGTGCCTTAGAATTGTCTAAACTAATGATTGTAAAGATAAAATTCCTAAAATTTCCGTGTTGTCTGAAAGTAAAGCTTTACCTGGCATCCTTCCCTCTGCATGGCCACCAACTCTAGTAAATGACCATTAGGTATACTGTATAAAATAATAAGGTAAGCCATATAACATGAAAATCCCCATTGGGTCTTAGAATCATTCTTTGCAAATTTCATTAATATAACAGTGTGCCCTAAGCTCCTCTCTTTGGATTAGTGAACACTAGTCATGAAGTAGGTTGTAATTTTTCTCAAGAAATTTTTTCACTAAGCATGTGTAATGTCACACTGTATACAGTTAACCCAAAAATAATCTAAGATTGATTACATCACATTTATCTTTTCCCAAATAAAAGATTATTGGGCTTGTTGGTGTCATCTGCTCTTTTAATGATTAGACCCACACATCCCGACCCCAGAGAACAAAGCACTTTATAACCACATTTATTCCTGTTCTCTTTATCCCTACACCAGAGTTACATTCTTAAAATTTAAAACAATTCCTTAAGGATCCAACAAAAAAAGATAAGGATACAAGGAGCCGTTGTCATAAACTTGCCCCAAATGTGTGAGTTTTCACATACCATTACACTAAAACCAACCTGCAGGGGCGTAAGTAAAGTGAAGTCTTATGAGAAAAAACATTCTCACATTACACAATCAAAACTATATAAAAATTACATAATGACATGACCACCATACTTATTAATCCAAAAGGGACTACTAACTTTACCTCAATAAGTGTGTCCGGATCTTGAAGGCTTAAGTTTAATCCCAACACTTCGAGCACTGCCTCTCTCACACACACACGATCATGCACTGAGGAATGTGCCACAAGCTGCAGCTTTCCAGGGGTCAATGACCTACATGTGTGTCAGTCATTCACTCGAACGTACAAACCACGAACAAAACACAAGCCTCTTCTGACCCGCCCTACAGTTCCAAACTTTGTTATGGATTTTACGATACAGCTTCACAAATCCTACAGAATAAGATAAAACTTGCAAATGAAGGAGATTGTGAGGGAGACGGAGAGAAGGAGAGCGGGGAGTCCGGGGAGGGGAAAGTGGGCCAAGCGAGAAGCGGCAGGTAGTGGGCCAAGCTCCAGCCATTTCCGCGTACAAGGGAGGCTCTCCAAAATGAATCCTTTTCTTACCCTTCACACGGCATAGAATATTGCAGTCACTCCCGATGTCCATCAAAGATTAACATGCCACGACAAAGATAAATTCTAAACACTGAGCTCATGACTCAATTTTGCAAACCGGTAAAACACGAAAAAAATGGAGACATTAGTAAAGTTGGTCATCAAGACGGGGACGCCATGATGCAGGTCGCGGCCCGCTTCCCACACTGGCCCGGCCCAACTTCCTTTTTTTACACAATACTTCCACGATAATTAAACTTTATAACCAAATCGGCACCACCACAAAATATTCACAAACAATGTATTACGTAAATGACATGTTAAATCCGAATGAGAAACACTTACTTGCGTTAGTACGCGCCCATCACAACGCCTCCCTGCACATCACTACGTAGTTTACTGACGCCGGACGAGAGGGCGTAGTAGTCGCGCAGGTGTGGGCGCATGACGTCACCACCCGCCCAGTTTGAATTCCCTCACAATAGACAAAGAACAGATACCAAAGAAAAATTAATGTACCATATGGAAGCCAGTTTGATATTTTGTATAATCATTGCTCAACTATAAGTTCCTGTTACATTCTTATTGTTTTTGAGTTGTTGGTAACTTTTTCGTTGTGCAAATATTTCCATTCATGATCAATTTACTCAAAATGTTTGTCATTTCACATCAGTTATGCTGAAACATAAGAAAATATATCGATTTCTTTTGATTTTCTGTCATACCCAAAAGTAAGTTCAGAAAAAGTAGGCCGATATTGGTACACCTAATTGATGCCTTCTTGTTATCTATTCCGGCCAAACTGTTCCAGGCGCTTATTTCTAGCCTTGAATGGAAATATAGTTCATATTCATCTAAATGCACGTTGAAGAATAAAACGCAACGATACCCCAAGTCTTAAACTCATTTATTAAGAAATATACTACTACGACTACTATTACTAATACTAATACCCCTGTACTAATACTAGTACTAATACTTTTTTTTAACGTGGCCTCCAGCCTCCCCCAATAGCCACACCTTCGCCACCATTTAATTACCTTAATATTAAATATCCTAATACATAAGTAGCTATCCTATCTGTGTTAAATTAGTTGAGCCACAGATCTATGCGGCATTCAGTGACAGTAGCACTACTAATAATAATGTCCTTATTTACACAAGTGTTTTATTGACGAAAACACAGTATTTAAGAGGGGAAAATTAGTGTTGAGATAATCATTCCTATGCTGATTGGGTTAGAGATATAACAGACGCAGGTGTGTTGGGGTTGTCTCTGTGTTATGTGTACCTGTTGGAGAAATGGCATACAATCGAGGCTTGTGTCTATACATCTGGTGTCACCCCAATGCGCATGCGTGACTTGCGAGTGTCTGGCGCATGCGTGATAGGAGATTTTGTGTGTATATGACCCCAGTACGTACTCTACCTGTGTGCACGCATAATTCTTTCTTGATACAATCCTAGCCTTAACAAACAGTACAGTGTGGCAAACTGTACAATATTAGTTACGTTTTCTCTTTTTGTGCAACTTACGGCCGCCTCAGAACTCTCTCCTTCGCTCTCTCTCTCTCTCTCTAAACATTCCAGATTCCCCCACCCACCCTCTTCCTCCCTACTCAACCTCTGTCTCCCCCTCTTTCTCCTTCCAAACTCCACACTCGTCCAGCAGCCAGCTTTCCCTTCCTCCCTCGCTCTCTCTTACTCATCATCCCCCCCTCCTGCCTGCCCTACCTCTTTTACCCGTTGTCGCTTCCTCTCTCCCTTCCCCCTACCAACGTCGCCGCCTACCCTACCTTCCCACTCCCCCTCTCCCTCATCTACTCCAGGCTGCCCTCCTCCCCGAGTCCTCTCTCTGCCGGCACTGAGCCCACTATACTCTCTGCCCCTCCCCCCGTTTTTCCATCCCTCTCTCTCACAGACACACACACACACACAGACACACCTTTGCTATTTCTCCCCCCATTATCATTTCCCGCTCTCTAGCTTAGCCCCTCCGCTTTCTCCCCCTCGCTCTTACCGACCCGCCATACAAACATCTCTTCCTTCCCCCTCCCTCTCACCCCCTCCCACCTTCCCTTCCACCCTGGCTGTCGCCTGTATCAGAAGCGGGCGAGGTTGGCTCCGTTATGGCCATATCGACTTTTTCCACTGTGCGCGTGTGTGTGCGCGCGCGTGTATCTGTGTGCGTGTGTGTCGCATGTTCCCTAACTGCCTGACTTTCCTGTTATTCTCGTTGAGGGTTCTATATTATTATCTCTCTCCTTCTCTCTCTCTCTCTCTCTCTCTCTCTTTCTCACTCTTAGTTTCCTTTTCTCCACTATTCTTCACTGATTGCTATATTTCCTCTTTCTAATATTTCCGCTCTCTTTCTCTCTTTCCTCTGTCTGATCCGTTGAAGGGGAGTTCCTATACTGTTTTCCCTCTGTTGCGCCTGTTGGGGACCTAACTTATTGGTGACGTGAGATAAGAGAGTTTAGCAAGACTGTACGTCTGCTTTCTTCTGCAACTGTTGGCAGACAGACTTTCTCTGTGTCTGTTAGAAACGCTGGGTGACTGGTGTCTCTGTTGTGGCGGGCGCCTGTTACATGCGAGTTCCCGTTAACCGACTTTCTCCTCTCGCCCGTTGCGACCGTTGGAGGGGGTGAGGTGGGTGGGAGAGGTCGTCATGTTCGGTATAACGAAGCGACCTCAATGTTCACCACCACTTCAATGGGTTAACGCCCAACGGCCTAATGTTGTTATTTTCCTCCTCTCTTTTTTTCCTTTCATTCGCCAAATGGCTATCGGTCTTAACAAACTAAAAGGTCTTTCTTCCCTTATTATTGTTTTCGTTATCGCTTATCTCTCCGTTGCTGTCAAAACTGTTGTCACTGCGTCATTTTCAAGCCATTATAGATTAAATCTAATGTTGCTTGTTCTGTTATCAGACCTAACTTTACTAATCGCTTTGTTAAAAATAAATAAAAACGTTAATATTCGCTGTTACTGTTGTTAGTCATTCAGTTATCACACCGCTGTTATTCGTTTAGTTTAAATTACCAATCCTGACCGTACTTTTATATCGTTGTTACTTACTATACCCCTGTAACTGTTTCGCTGCCACGTTTTGTTACTGTGTGCTGCGTCACCCCCTGTATTATAAGCATCATCATATCACTCTGTAGGTTCAATCAGTCTATATTCCAATGCTTCGTTGGTCTGAAAGTCTGTTTATAATTTTTGGACCAATGGACCCCCAGGTCAAATAACCATTGGGCCTATGAAACTTCAGAACCAATGAATCTTAGAACCTATGAGCCTTTGAACCAATGAACTATCGACTCAATGGACCTTCAGACCAATGAATTCTTGCAGCATGGAGTTCATACTATATAAGCTCCAGGTGCACCACAAGCCATTACTGTAAGCTTTTCCGTTATCAATGTTCTCAAGATTTCACATGTCTTATTATTTAGAACAGAAACTATTGGTATTTTGACCGTATAAATAAAAGAAATTACACTGCTCTGATAAGAAAATATTAAAATATCAACACTACCGCAATTTCTACTCCTACTACTACCACCAATAATAATAATAATAATAATAATAATAATAATAATAATAATAATAATAATAAAGCGGACTAAGGGTGGCCACCAGCAGGTCCAACTCAACTTGTGGAGGTCGCTGGCTGCGCCTGTATTGATTACGACTATACCCACACGCACTGTACAACAGCCATTAATATGCAGGCGGCAGCTACCGGTACTTTTTTTTGTAGTTTTCACGGAACTTCGTCCAATTCCTTGATATAGAAGAAAAACTCATAATTGTGTTTAATTTAGTGAATGCGTCGTCACTATACTGTCATCTTGTTGTAGTAAAATATGAACAGTTCAACTGCGTTTTATTTTAGTTAAATTTCGACGGTAGCGGAAAGCTGTGTGTGAGGAGTGGCTTGCACAATACACTTAAGTACTGTACTATACACCTGTATATCCCACGAGTCACCCGTTGAAATAATAACTGAACAAAATCCCATTTATCAAGTTACCATCGGTTAAGTTTGATTAAGATGTTATGTTTATGATGAGGTTAGATTGTGTTGGATTGAAGTAGAAAAGGATCTGTTAAGTCTAGCTAGTCTAGGTTCTGTTTGGTTAGGCGAGATAAAATTATGAGGCAAGTGTACAGTAGATTGAGTTAGGTGAAGGTAAATTAGGCTTTGTAAGGTTAGGCTTGATCAAGATTAGGTTCTGTTAGGTTAAACTAAATTATGTAGTTAGGCTGTTAGGTTAGGTTAGGCTAGATTAAGTTGGAACACCTAAACATTAGCCCTAGCTTATTGCGACTTAAAATTATACACCCTAACGCTAACTAGGGGGCTAGATTGCAAGGGCGGATCCAGGGGGGAGTCCTGGGGGTCCGGACCCTCATTTTCACCAAAAAATTCCAATACGTTTTCTTTAATGTAGTACTGTAGTGTACTCGGGCGTTTTTCTATAGTATAAAGTAATTGCTATTGACCTCATAAATCTCCTAATATCAAGTGCACATGGCTTCAAAATGGCCTCAAAATGCCCATGATATTGGTCAGATTAAAAAAAAGCAATGGGGGGAGGGGGGCGGCGCCCTCAGCTGGGTGGGCTTGCTGTGCTCGCCATGTTCCTCCACCTACAACTTCTTGGATCCCCACGTTTGAGATTCCTGGATTCGCCCC